AAGCTTTTACTGATCAAGCTGACGCGATCACATGCCAATGCTTGCAGGGGAAGGGGTAAATATTAATTAGAGATGAAATGAAAAAGAAATCCGTCTTCCAAACACCAAAAAGCAACATGGTGTTGACTGATTCATCAAATGAAAGGCCATTTCACACCAGTGTGGAGAATGAGCTCTCAGACTGCAGTGAGAAATAGCTTCACACCAGATCTCATTCACACCAACGGATCACAAATACACATATGGTTATTTAGAGAAACACACTCATTTTATATTATAAGGAGTCAAAGCTTATCTGAGGAATAATACCAACATTGCACAAAAGGTTCTTTATAGTGGAAAGGGTTTTTTTTTTTTTAAATGTTCTTTACACCAAAAAAGGCATCACTTTTTATTTTTTAGGATGCATAGACACTGCTCCGGGTGCACGCCGTCACCCATGTGTCCGGGATAATAGTTAAATCTATAGTAGGTGTGGCTCTGGTGTAAAAACAAGTGGAATATCTGAGCACCGTCACTGCAGGGTGCCCACGCTCGTGTTGAACAAAACCATCTGGAGCTGCTTTAAATTCCTGAGAATTTGCAAGTTTCAGGTCTTCTTTAGCACCTCTAAATCCCCTCACGCCTCCCACCATTAAACCACTGAAGCCGCCTGCTGTCAGAACACACAATACACTGGGGTGTGTGTAGCTGGGGACGGGACACACACCATCACCATGGGGACTGCATGGCACGCTACGCTATGTTGGCATACTATCATGCTTGTTTGTGCACACTATGTGAAAATCAAATCAGAACTCATCAAAATGTACCATAGTCTTAACTTTCCAATGGATGTGGCCTTATACTCAATTTAATATCTGCATTGAGACTGGATACACTTGTTGAGTTGGGTCATTGCTTTTCAATAAGTTGCATCCTGCACAGAATACAAATATTCAATCCAAATGGCACGAGACTGTGTGTATGCCTTTATGACATCACAAACACGTACGTGCGTGCGGTTATGACATCATGTCCGACTGTTTTGCTGCACTAGAGTCTGATGTTTCCCATTAAGCGCAAATGTGGGAAGTGTCCGGGTAGCGTGCGCAAATATAGCCTATTTAATTTATTTAGTGCGATTTATGCGCACTTGCCCGGGATGATCACGCAAAGGCCGCATTAGTGCTGCAGCATGACAAATAAACGCTCTCTGTCTGTGGGCCCTGGTAAAACTAAGCCCTGCGGCGATTATCTGAATCATTTACATCCACAACCCCTGGAAATGTCACGCAGAGTCCGAAAGTCTTTGATTATCGTTCACAAACACACGCCATCCAGACGACGCGACGCCTGGAGAGTAAAAACACAGACCCGTGAGATCGACTGAGGGACATTAGTGACCCGCTGCGGTTCTGTCACACAACAGTATCGCGTGAAATGGTGATTTCTCTTTGGACTACCGCAGTGGAGATGATGGGCACCGGATCAACATCCATTTCAGGTCACCGAGAGCAACATATCAGATTTGCACATTTATATCATAAGATGACGAGGTAGCACACCACAAACTGCTGGATCACAACCATACAGTCATTTTGCCGATTACAGTAACCCACAGGTTATGCAAATGGTTGTTTGCGATGTGGATAAGGCAAAACTCCAGCCATCTGACCACGCCTGTTTGCATCCATATTCTACTGTACCGTTATTCCTAAGATTCCCACTATTGATTACGCACATAACAGCATCCATCCTGGTTTGTAGGCTATATAACAAAGCCTATAATCATTATATAAACCCATGAAGGCCTATAAATCTGTAGCAGCATTTAATACACCTGGATTTATATCATTGACGCAAACTCCTCTCATTTGGACTCCATCACCACCCACGTATTTATGGGAAAATCACTGTTAGGATTGCGGCAAACGCGGTCTAAGCGAGCGCATTTCAGCCTGTATGTTCCCAATGAAACATCTGATGATAAAATAAATGATTATTTTGCACTTACCGATAAAAGAATGCGTGATGAACTTCACCGCGTTTGGAGTCCGCAGCGCGCAATGAGCGAGAGAGAGGCTGGACACACTGCGCTGGGAGTGACCGATGCGCACTGACTCCCTCCCCGTCTGTGCTGCACTGAAACACGGGGCGGGGAATTTACCAAACCTACTATAGCCAGAAGCAGTGGCCTTCGACATAGTAGCGGGGAAACATTTGATTCGTTTTAGAGAATCGATTGAAGTGAACCGACTCACTGATTCAACTCCAGCGTTGCGTGTTCAGATGTAAATGAAGTGTAGCGTGATCACGACTTCTTTTGAGTCGGTTCTTCTGAACCGATTCAAACTTTTGCAAATCACAGGGTCAAATGTATGGGCGTAGGCATACATGACGTAACAAGGCAGAACCATAAGCTCACCGTTTGCTACAATCTTAGTAGGAAGATAACAATAACAATAAGTAGGTACAGTAAGTAACAATCTAACTAGGCTACATTACACTAACAAACGGGTTTAAGCGACGATTCAAACAAAAATCAACCGGTGAATCTGACTGTAAAAAAAAAAAAACATTATTTGACAATTATTTTGAATGAGATGGCAAAAACGTGAATGGAGAATCTCAATGAGTAATCAAATCAACCGAAAACACATTACTAAAAAATCAAAATCTAACTAAACATTTGACAACAACTTAAAGAAAAGATAGACTTTATTCATACACATCTGAACGAGCACCAGGAGATGAATCACTAAATCGGTTCTCATTCGAATCTCAATGCTACTAGCGGCAGATATTCTTTGACCGCCTCCTGTACCCGGTTCTCCATCAGGGCGATTAATGGCGAGACAACAATAACGACTGGGGTCCCGCGAAGTTTAACGCCAAAAGCTGCTCTTTTTTCAAAATAAACTTGCATTTTAAACTACTTTGAAACAATATAAGGCTGCATCAAAAGGCAGCTTCGTGTCTACTGCCATTTTGGATCCATAGATATAAACAAACTGCTTCGGTGTGTTGTGTGTCGCATAGATGTCGTCATCGTCTTGCTGCTCCCTCCCCGTTCTGTGATTGGTTCCCTAGGCGAATGAAAACGCGCTGCGGGAAGGCAGCATGGGGAAACCCAAAATAGATGAAGTCAGATAAAAAAAAAAAAATAAAAAAAAAAGATGAAGTCAGATATTTCAAAACAAAAAGAAAACGACCCTAGCTTTGACTTTATTCAAAAGCATCCGAATTCCGAACGAGGGAGACGAATCAGTGAGTCGGCTCATTAAAACGATAGAATTGATTCGCTAAAACAAATCAAACGTCTCCCCTGTTTAGGACAGACATACTTTCATGCAGAATATATGCACTTTAAAATGTAAAAACCTGGGCCTAAAACTATTTTTGCTGCACGTGTGCAATTTAAGACGCGATGCTGTTGCTTCAAAACATTCATGCAGTAAATGTCTTTCTGTATGGTGTCTGTCTTTTGATTGAATTGCTGTTAAATAAAGTAAAGCACACTCTGAGAAATTGTTTTTTTTTTTCTTCTTGTTGCTTTAATTTGGGATCTTACTGAATTAAACATTGGCCTAAACCCTGCATGTCAATATATTGAAGTTAAAGTGGTCAGTTGAAATATGCAGACGAAGAACATGCAGCACACACACACGCATTCATAATTCAAAGGCCTTTCATACACAGAGAGGCAGAATGGACTTCCTGTTGGGTGGGTCTGGAAATCGTCTGTCCACAGACAAGGACAACAAGCTCATCATTCACTGCTACTCTGATCATTGTGTTCGCATGTCATCCGGGTTATGGATCGGCCTATTCTTAATCATCAAACATTCACTGAGATTGCAATGTTCACACTGATTTGATTTCATGCATAATTTGATTATGCAGGATTTGATCCACTCGTCCCTCAGTTTGTAAGGAGAAACTTATCAAATAAAGTGTCACATGTTCATTAGAGGAGAGAGTGCATGTGGGACAGTTATTCGGGATCAGGCCTCAATATTTCAGAAAAAAATATGTCCAGGTCATATTTCACCCCAAAAAGAAATTATTTTACCATAACAAATAACTATACCTGTTTGTAGAACCATAATGATTTTTGCATTGACACATATTTTCATGACAATTAGGACTTTTTCTGCGTTTATTCCTTTTGTAATCAATTTAAAAATTACTGTAATACAGTGTAAAACAACTGCCATGAAGTATTCAAATAAAATTAAAATATTATTTTTAAGGGAAAAAATATATGTAAATAATACAATAAATACATATGAAATATGTATTATTGCAAATAATATATTAAATATAAATATTATAACACTTTACATTAAGGGCTCATTTGTTGACATTAGTTAATGCATTAAATAACATGAACTAAAAATGAGCAATATATATTTATTAAGATTTATATTTTTTATATTAATATTTATATACGTATTAACCTTTGTTAATGTTAGAAAAAATATTAATGTTCATGTTAGTTTGCGGTGCATTAACTAATGTTATCAAATACAACTTTTGATTTTAATGATGTATTAGTAAATGTTGAAATGAATATTAACTAGTTAGTTGTTAGTTTATGTTCACCAATCGAACCTTATTGTAAAGTGTCCCTAAATTTAGAAATGCTGCCTAAAATAAATTAAGTTAAAGCTGAAAAAAACTAATTCTAAATATTAATATCCAAAAATTATATGGAAATGATACTGAGAAGTGAAGAATACATGAAACACTTTTTGAACATAACATAAATAATACCAGTTAAGCTTTTGACTCAACCCTCAGTTTGTGTATTCTGGCTGTCAGGATGAAGTCATAGATAATAAATAATATGTATAATTACATTACTGTAATGAGAATTTTGGAAAAATATGCATCATGGAAATAATCCTAGTTATTTATACAAAAAAAAAATTGTCTTGATTTGACTTTGAGGTGGAATAAATGTAAGCTTGTTTCCGCACAGGGAAAAAAAAGTTATATGACTTTTTTCCTAAGAATTGGACTTTATATCGCACAATTTTGACTTTATATCATGCAATTCTTAGAAATAATCTCAGAATTGATAGATGTAAACTCAAAATTGTGAGATAAAAAGACACAATTATCTTTTAAAATGTTTTATTCTGAGGCGGAAAAGAGCTTCCATAGGAATCCCAAAGGACGGAGATTCCCCTCGTCTCCGGGTCCGGCTGTGGGAGGAACACCAGGCCAGATAACCACAGATACACACGTCCACCGTCCCTGCTGAGGGCAAACAAGACCCCTCTGAGATCAGGAATGTCCTGGAGAGAGAGAGAGAGAGAGAGAGAGAGAGACATTTAAAGGAACAGTGTCCTCAAACAGTATTTCTGTACAATGTTAACTAGGTTTGGACCAACAACAGTGTGAGCAAATGACACCAGATCCTTCATTTTAGGGGTGAACTCCACCAGCAACAGTGCAGCACACACACACACAATGGTGGATGAACGAACACAGCTGGTCCCATTACAGTTCAGTCTAGCCAAGAGTCAGTTCACTGTGAGGGGAAAGAGGAGTGTGTACATCTGCGAAGTTATTACCACACTCCAAAAATATTTAGATTTATGCATATAAATAATTTATATGTGTGTTTATATTGCATATAATATTTCCATCCATTTGGATTAGACAGTTTTAACATAAACAAACTAATAAACATAAGGTGAGGCATATTTGTCACACATCCAATCATATAATCAGGCTTATAATCAGCATACATAATAAAACAATTACATTTATTCAGTTAAAAAGTATGAATAGGATTATGGCAATAGTCCCTGTAAACGTTAAAACTCATCTTTGATCACCAAAACGGCATATTTAAGCATTTTTTCCTTGAAAACAAATGTCTTAATGTCTTAAATGTAACTCGACGCCCTTGCCTTTTTTAGTATGCGCGGTTCTATGAATATGCAAAAGAGCCCCGCCTCCACTCACTCTCTCAGCTCAGAGATCCACTGGTTGACGAGTTGATCTGATTGGTTACAAGGTCGTTTGTGACGTCAGAAACCGTGTTTTTGAGACTGTCTTTGGTTCACTGCAGTTTTAAGGAGGAAATACTCAACAATGCTGTCCACTTATGAACTTACACATGGTTTAAGCGTATTAAAAACACCACATACACACATAAACAACATTAAAAGCTGGATAAATGTATGGGACTGAAACAAGATCTCACCTGTTTCTTCATGTATGCATGACTGATAAATATGCACCAGTTTATTTGATTATGTTAAAGCTGTAATTTAAAAATGTCCATTTCCATAACCGCCAGTTTAACACACTACTATCCAATGAATTGCATATGAATTATTATAATGAGGAATATTGTGATGTGTCCATTTTTATGATTCTTATGAGCCCAAAGGGTTTTACACTTATTCTAACGCAACTGTCTTAAAGGGATAGTTCACCCAAAACTGATTTGTGTTCAGCAGGAGGAAGAAACTCGTACAGAACTTGAGGGCGAGTGAATGATGACAGAATTTTCATTTGTGATATTTTGACAAAAGTCTCACCTCTCCTTGAATTCCAGAATCATTCAGGTCTATGAACATCCTGGAGCTGTTCTGATTGGTCGATGGGACTCAGAGCTGGGACTGCAGAACAATTAAAAACATGTTTGATAATAAAAGGGGCTGATGTCAGATGTACTATTACTGTACATTCACACACACACACACACACACACACACACTGCGCTTACTGATTCCTCTGGCCGCGGGTCTGCTGTCACGTGCTCTGATAGGAATGTCTCTGATTGGCTGGAAGTCTCTTCTCTGAGTGCTGGATTCGCTGTAAGCCGGTTTCACAGGCGGAGCTTCTTCAGGACCGGTGGACCACCAGTCAAACTAGTTAAGTGGTCAAAAATGATGAAATAATGATATCTTCAATTAAACAGATCACACAAAGTAAATGATACATTCAAAAAATATTATTCGTCAAATTAAATGTAATTCATTTATATGATTGGGCTCTTGACTCGAACTTATTTCCCGTCAGTCCACCTGTTCCGTGTCCATGTGAGCGATGGGCTCATTCAGGAAGCGGACATTAGTCCTGATGAAGCTGCAGTTGTGTGGATGTGGGATGTTTCGTCTCTCGGTCTCCCGCGGCTCTCCTGCTGGACATCTGCGGTTCCGGTGACCTCTGACCGGGTCAAGGCGCTCCGGCACCGTCTCATCGAAGATCCTGAATGTGTTTGACCTGCAGATATAGAAACGAGAGTGTAAAGCAGATCTTCAGGAAAGCAGGGAGTTGAAGAATAACACACACTCACTGGAAAGACTCCAAAACCTTCTTTTTTCGAGGCAGAAATATTTCTGCATTATGGTTCATTTGCTCTTCCATTGAAAACGGAAAAAAGAGGGTTCGAGCTGTTGGCGACCGCGGTTGCTATGCAACAGTGACGATGCGAAACCCGACACCCACTCACGAGGCTGTGTTACTATAAAACAGACAATAATGCACAGAGAAAATGATAGAAATTATGCCATCTTATGTAAGAGATTAGGTCTCTGGTCAACTTTTTCATAATATTTCAATTTTTTTTTACTGTATTTTAATGTCAGATACATGCAGCCCTGGTGAGCAGAACAGACTCTTTAATAAACTCTTTGTAAATAATAAATAAATAGTATAACCATGATAACATTTCCAAACAAATATCGCACTTTTATGTGTAATAAATTTATAGTAACAGTAATGTAACTTCAAGTGCAGTATTTTAATACAATTGCATATGAATATAATCATTCAGTATGGAATAAATCAAAGTAGTGACTGCTTCTGAGACCATCACTGTATGTGGAACAGTGCAGTACCTTTGAATTAAAGTCAAGAGTTTCCTCTTTTTATTATTTATTCATTTATCTGTTCAACTATTAATGACATTTTATTTTACAATGTCCTTGTTACATGTATAATTACATGCACTAACCCTAAACCAAACCCTAATCCTAACCATGTAGTACACATGCAGATAATTATTACTCAGTACTTAATGTTTAACACTGTTACACAGAGAACTTAAAATTAAGGGTTACACTTTATTTTAAGGTGTCATTGTTACAGTGTGATTATATATTTAAGTGCTGAGTAGTATTAATTAACTACATGTACTTACTATAGGGTTAGGGTTTGGTTAAGGGTTAGTTGCATGTAATTATGCATGGTAACACTACATGTAACATATGAAACAAAGACACTGTACAATAAAGTGTTACCAAATTAAATGTAACAGAAATCATTCAGTAGATCTTAAAGTGCAATTAAGTCATTAAAGTCCATGTTTTCATTACACCGAGCGAGTTGGAAAGTTTGAGAACATGTGCGCTCCAGAATCACAGTTTTTCCACTCGCCGGAAAAAAAAACCCTGTTTCCTGTTCTTTCACTGCTTCCTGTCTGTTACGGCTCTGTTTCAATCTCACATGTAATATGGTTAAACTCAGCAAATGGGGGTGTAAATAGATGCAGTAACACATTAAAATATTCATATATAATGCTTTAGACTGATCATTTAAAGAAGCATGAGCATCCACAAACAACACAGAATCATTAATGTGTGGATTGTCTTGAAGTTAAAAGGGAAGGTCAGATTTAACAGGTTAACATTAAATATGTTAAAAGACCCCGGGTCAAACACGCTTACAGACGGACGCTCAGCAAACCCTGATCCAATCAATCAAACGCCGAGTCCATTAAACACACTCTAACACTGTGAAATATTATTATAGTTTAAAACAACAGTGTATTTTTTTCCTGTGATTACTCCAGTCTTCAGTGTCACATGATCCTTCCCAAATCACTCTAATATGAGGATCTGATGATCAAGACACATTTATGATTATTATCAGCAGTTTTACTTCTTCAGGTGGTTGTATTATTTTAGGATTCTTTGATGAAAAGTTCAAAAGTTCAGCAATTATTTGAAAAAAAGAAACATTTTGTAACATTCTAAATGTCTCAACTGTCACTTTGGAGCAGTTTAATGGAATTCTGATATTTCGATACAATGTTCCAATAAAGTTCCAATGACGTCACTTAAGATTCCAAATACTTGTTGGTCTCTGGTTTCTTCCGTCTCAAGATGCTTTTGGGAAACACAGAGAGATCCCAAACAAAGAGCCCGGCACATTCCATCAGAGGCCGGACCATACTCCGACACATCAAACTGTTCCTAGATCAGTCCGTCTATTCACAGACACACTAACCCTCGTTCTGGGTTACACACTAAGCCTCTGATCTAATCTTGCAACTGTCAGCTAAGAGGATTCCAGCCTCTCTAACCATGCAGATTAGCTGAAGTGAAGCATGCTGGGAGAAAAAGGACACCCCGGGGACTCTGTCTTTTGTGTCTCTGATGCAGCGTGTTCAATCTGGGAGACGCTTCCAGATCAAGCCTAAAGACATCATGACGTTAGCAATAACTCCTAATGCATTTTTGATGCAGACAGAGCTGACCCTGCACGAGAGCGACACACACCAGTCTCACACACACTCCACCTTAAGAGAGCTCTGCGAGGGAGGATGGGTTTTGCCCGGAAACACAAGCGCCGGATGCCGTGATTGGTCAATTATGCACACAGGGAAGATCTCCTGAAAGAGGATAATGTGTGTAGCATCAGAGGACGTCTAATATTCATATCGCCAGAGAGCCAACAATATTTTGGTGTATTGATAGATGTTTATTAGTCTGATAAACTTTACATCAAGCTGGTTATATTGTGGACATATAATTGTCTAAAAACATTTTTGAAAGAAGTCTCTTCTGCTCTCCTATAAGCTAAATTTATTTGATCAAAAATACAGTAAAAATTGTGAAATATTATTACAAATTAAAAATAGCCGTTTTCTATGTGAATATATAGTGACGTGTAATTTATTCCTGTGATTCAAAGCTGAATTTGTACAAAAAATTAGATTTATAAATATATAATACTTTATAGGATAACAATCCAGTTCAATATTCGATATTGTTTTATCTTGTTGCGTTTGAATGGATGGATCAGATAAAATCACGACTGTGTTTGTGTTTTGCTTTGGGGAAGTTGCATAAAATCAAACAATTTATTCACATTTATAACCCTATGTTAATAAATATAAACACATTTCAGTGATGGGGTTCTGGTTTTGTTCTTCAGTGTCAGTGAAGATCTGGCCAGTGTTTGAGTTTAGTGATTGCCGGTGCCGATGGGACTGGGTAGGGTATCAGTATCGAGTGCCGAATCCTCGGATCTCCAGTTTAGAGATGCGTCTCTCGTTGGAGAACTGAGCGCGGTCGATTCGAGAGCTGGGACTGCCCACTTTACTGAGCCAGTGCTTCCTGTAGAGAGAGAGAGAGAGAGAGAGAGAACATGTCAGAGAATATGGAATTTGATGGAGTGAGTCAACTGGACTCGTTTGAACTCATTATGATGTCATTTCTGGAACTCGACATCATCTCTGTGTTCCATTAAGGACAGACAGTCAATCACAGTTTTCACAGTAAAGCTGTCATACATTTTACAGGTTTATTTTTTAACCATGCAGATTTACAACAACAACAAACAACAGCTTAAGAAACACAAACAAAAACATCAACAATTTTTTTTGTGCAACTGCAGGAGGATAAACAGACTCCATTTTCTTTTTTGAAAACAAGGGCGAGGCGCACACACACACACACACACACACACTATAACCCAACTCCTAAACCTACCCATCACACACACACACACACACACACTAACCCGGCCCCTAAACCTACCCATCATACACACACACACACACACACACACACACACACTAAGCCGACCCCTAAACCTACCCATCATAAACACACTCACTCTCTCTCTCTCTCTCTCTCTCACACACACACACAAACCCAACCCCTAAACCTACCCATCATAAACACACTCACTCTCTCTCGCTCTCTCTCACACACACACACACACAAACCCAACCCCTAAACCTACCCATCATAAACACACTCTCTCTCTCGCTCTCTCTCTCTCTCACACACACACACACACACACACACACACAAACACACACAAACCCAACCCCTAAACCTACCCATCATAAACACACTCACACTCTCTCTGACACACACATACACACTAACCCGACCCCTAAACCTACCCATCAGACATACACACTGTCATACTCTCAAACAAACACACACACACACACACACACACACACAGTCACAGTAACCCAAACCCTAAACATACCCAACAACACACACTGTTCCTCAAAGGGCTGTAAATGCATTATTCTCCCTGTGGGCCGCAGCGCTGATCTCATATTGGATCAGTGAGTGTGTGTGTGTGTGTGTGAGAAAGAGTGTGTGTTCAGAGCATCTGCATGACTGCCCAATATCCCGCTCTATAATGGGCTTTCAGGAAGAGGAGGAGCCAGAGTCAAAGAGAACAACACAATCTCTACAGCAATGCCCCTGAGAAAGAGTGTGTGTGTGTGTGTGTGTGTGAGAGCCTCGGGAATGACGGATCACAGACGGATCCGGGTTACTCTGGGGTTATAAGAGTTTCACCAGGGTGCGGCTCACTCAAACTGAGGAAATCAAACCCTGAGAGAGGAATACACACTTCACATGAATCGCCTCACATCACTGTTTCACAGGATACACACACACACACACACACCCAACTGCCACTCGATTCGTTTATGCCGGAGGAACAACAACAGTTGCACTCGGAAATAGCGAGTCAGTTTCACACAATTATTACAAAGAAACAGCAACTTAAACAATAACGTCATTCTTTTGACAATTAATTGCAGTAAAACTGCTTTGGCTAAATCTTTTTATTTATTTAAAATATTCAGCCAAAATTATAATGATTTGTTTATTTGGACCAAACAGATACGTTTATTGTTAATTTATGGAAAAAACATTATAATAATTGTATTTAATAATCAAAAACGCATCATTATTGCATCTACTGTATATATAGCGACCCAAATATATTGTATTATTTTACATTATATTATATTATTATTTATAACGATTTAACTACACTTTAATGGCCTCTCCAAACAAAAACTTTCAATTTTAAGTTATGGAAAATACATTATCTAATATTTTCATTTAATAACTCAGAATTAATCCTTTCAAACTAACATACCTCTATAGCAACCCAAAAATCCTGTGTTGCAAAATATTATATTTTATCTATATATTATATTTATAGTATTTCTGCATTACGTTTTATTAAATTATTTTGTTTTTGTATTATCTATTATTTTTGTATTCTGTGTTTTCATATCTAGGTGATCGAGAACACTTTCCGTCAATCTCACACTCTCACTCTCTTTCACAAACCCGGACAGCTGTTCTCTGAACACACACACACACACACACACACTCCAGTTTCTGTAGTGCTCATTGTGTTCTGAAGGAAAGGAGTTTCCCATCTCCCCCCGTGAGGAAGTCAGATAACATTCACACACTGTGATAGGAAGGAATTTCTTCATACACTTTTACTTCATCCATAAACCTCAGTCTAACAATCCGCCGGCAACACCAGAAACACGACACCAAAACAAATATATAAACTATATATTGTATAAAATATTTATAAACTATATTTTATTTTATTTTATTTATATAACATATTTAAAATATTTAACATATTTTAGATTTACAAATAATTTATAAAAAATAATAAATAATATATATATATATATATATATATATATGTATGTAAATATTATATAACTTACACTCCCTCAAAATAATATTTATATTTTATAATAATTAAAATTGTATTAAAATAATATAGTAAAGATATTTACTTTTTTATTTATAATTACATTTATATTACATTGTAATATATTATATTATCAAAACAGTTAGAAACAATAAATAGATCAAAACAAAAAATAATAAAATATGTAAATATTATATATATTATAAATATAATATTTAACACTCACTAAAATAATATTTATAAAAATAATATTTATATTTTATAATAATTAATATTGTATTTAATGTAATATACTATTAAAATATCTATTTTTTAAATTATAATACATTATATTATAAAAACAATAAAATAGAATATTAAATACTTACTCACAATAATATACCAAATAAAAATAGTTAAAAATGTTTTAATTATATATATATATTTAAATATATATATAGAAATTGTGATATATATATATATATATATATATATATATATATCACAATTTCTATTTTAAAATGATATATTATATTATATTATATTATATTATATTATATTATATTATATTATATTATATTATATATTTTGGGGATTTATTAAGATGAATTAGCCTAAATATGAGCAATTGTAAAAGTGATGATAATACTAAAAGATTAATAATTAACTGATGTAAGAGAAAGCTTTAAAATCGATGTATAGGTGTCACATCACAGGAGATAAAGCATCATGAACACACAGATGATGACAACACTCTGGTAACACTTCTACACTTCAGAGCTCATCCAGATATTACTCAGGGATGGGCGGAGGTCGTCTGGGAACGGTCCTTCGGGATCTACAGTCTCATCGACGTCACACACACACACACACGGCCACAACCCAAGAGAGTTCACCAAACCAGCCCAATACGCCAACAGACAGATGAAGAGAGCCATGATAACGCCACAGAGTTAACAGATTGACAGATGTCAAACGATCTGGTAATTTAGGTGAAGAAATACAAGGAATGGGAAAACTGGTGAAGGGGGCGGGGCCTGGAGGCTTGTGTAAATATTTAATGAGCAAACACATTTGTGTTCACTCGCATCTCGTGTTCACCAGCTGGAATGAGGAAGAGGAGGCTTTCAGAAGAGGAAGAGCTTTTCTCATGCAGTACTGGAGCACTTTGTCCCTGACAATCGCATGTATCACACACACACACACACACACTAGGTTGTGTAGCAGAGTGTAATAAATAGGACACGGTCCCACCAGAGAATCACAGCTATAAATGTCTGTACAGGGCAGCGGCACCTTAACCCACTTCAACACACAATACAATCAAAGCAAGTCCTTTCAAACATCGTTCTCACGGAAAACACTTAGAAATACGGAACATTACGAATTCATTTGATATGAGTATCTTATAGCTAGAAAGTAAAGTTCACTGGGACAAACTTTGATGTTTGAAAGTTTTATAAGCTTTAAATGTTGTTAAGTAGAAAGAAAGACATTGCTAACATGAATTAACATGTTGTTATCACTTTACCAGATTTATAACATGAATTTCGCATCTTATACAGACAGTGACAGTGTATATGCTGCTCAGCACTGACGCCTGAACAATAATGCTAAGATATTACTAAAATGAATAAACAAAAATCTCTAAAAGCTTTAATTGATGGTGTGTATTAATTCAAATGCACACAGTAGATTTAAAGTCCCTTAAATCCATTAGTCCATTAATGTAATTGATTTCTTTTGCGTAATTGCATCACAGTTGCTTAATCTGGTGATGAAGACACGGGTGAGGCTCTTCAGCGTTTGTGTAGCGCTATAATGCCAGTGTGTGTAACTCGAACAAAAACTGCTTTTGAAAGTTTTCCATCTAATATTTATATTAATATTTTAGCTTTATTTCAATTAACTTTTTGTTTTTATAATACAATGTAAAAAAAGTTACTGCCTCAGTACAATAGACTTGGTCAATTCATTTCAAGTTAAATGACATTAAACTGACTTTAAAATGAGTTGAATCTTGAATAACTTTAAAAAAATTGAGCTTATTTTGACGAGTTATATACAAAACTCGAAAAAATGAAAAAAATTCGAGTTATATATGAATATCGAAAAATGAAAAAAATTCGAGTTATATAAAAAACTCGAAAAATTAAAAAAATTCGAGTTATATACGAAACTCGAAAAATTCAAAAAATTCGAGTTATATACGAAACTCGAAAAATTTTAAAAATTCGAGTCATATACGAAACTCGAAAAATTAAAAAAATTCGAGTTATATACGAAACTCGAAAAATGAAAAAAATTCGAGTTATATACAAAACTCGAAAAATTCAAAAAATTCAAGTTATATACGAAACTCGAAAAATTGTAAAAATTCGAGTTATATACGAAACTCGAAAAATGAAAAAAATTCGAGTTATATACGAAACTCGAAAAATTGTAAAAATTCGAGTTATATACGAAACTCGAAAAATGAAAAAAATTCGAGTTATATACGAAACTCGAAAAATTGAAAAAAGTCGTGTTATATACAAAACTCGAAAAATGAAAAAAATTCGAGTTATATACGAAACTCGAAAAATTCAAATATCATGCAAAACTTACAGTATTTCAGTAATTCAACTTAAAAGGTAAAACTAATATATTATATAGATTCATTACATGCAAAGTGAGATATTTCAAGCCTTTATTTGTTATAATTTTGATGATTGTGGCTCACAGATTATGAAAACCCCAAATTCAAAATTAGAATATTGTGAAAAGGTTTTCATATCTGTAATCTATTATTATTACTATTATTACTGTATATATTTTCTGTTGTTGCACTCTTTGCTTGAAATAAAAAAAATAAAAAAATAAAAATAAATAAATTTGTCATTTCAACTTAAATGTCATTAAACTGACTTAAAAAAAGTTGAAAATTGCTTAAATTATTTTGACGAATTAAAGCATTGTAAAAACACGTCATAAATAATTGATCAGAATAATAAAAAAACACCATGCACAGTTGTATGCATAAATGTGGATTTTCCACGCATTCAGACACAGTAATCTCAGCTCTCCCTCGCCAGTAATCTGCACAATGTCTGGTTCACATTAGAGACTGATGATATCATTAAGCCCTCGCCCCTGTGCTCCCGCCCCGCCCAGACTGACATGATGACATCATCACTCCCCGTCCCGCCCGACCCGAGGGACCGCAGACCACATATACACACACACACTCAAAATACAGCACAGGCTGCTAAAGCTTTCATCGCACTAAAAGCTTTCTATTGTGTCGCCTCCATCTATCATTACAGGTTACAGCACAGCAGTGATGACGGGTCTCCCATAAACATCTGTCATGTGACAAATGAACACATTAATTATTTATGTTCCCAATAAATTATGTTTGACTGCACTTCTTAACTCAGTCAGAATATGATCAAGATTATGTAGGTGGACGTGTTCGGGGAATTTGGCTGTTAAAAGTATAAAGCCGCTTAAATGAACGAAATGACTCAAAAAAAGATTTGTTCATTCTTGTTCGAGACGAGAGAGTCGGTACATGATCTGAACCTCCATCACTACAGCACAGAGAGAATCCATTTTCACCATCAGTGTTTCTAGACTGTTCCATGATATGACTCGAACACTGGGACACTAGCGCCACCTGCTGGCTAGAATAAACACTGCACACTAGAGCACATGACAGGCGCAGATATAGTTTTGATTTCTGTTCTGGTCTGGGTTTAGTTGTAAATTGCTCTTTAATTGCTCTCATTGCTGTGACCCATTTATAAATGATATAAACACAGATGCACACTCACATTTCGTTGACTTTCTCTGGCGGCCCCTGCACCTGTCCGACCACAGTGCCCTGTCTAGTGTTCTTCACCCAGCCCGTGACGCCTAGATTCTTCCCCTCTTCTTCTGTGTACTGTCGAGATTCAGACAGAGAGTCAAACACATGAATGATGAAACAAGGGGCTTGATCTCGCATTAATGTGTTAGAAAAATGCCATTAATTTCATTGCATTCAAAGGACAGATTTTATCAGTTCATGCATTCACTAGGAATAAAATATTACTTTGGCCATGCTTTATCATATATACTCATATGCAATTATATACTTTGTGTACTCATATATATGCACTTATACACTTTATCATATATACTCACATGCATTTATATACTTTATCCTATATACTCATATTTATGCACGTATACACTTTATCATGCATATAGCCTACTTATATATATATGCAATTATACACTTTATCATAAATACTCGTATATATATATTCACTTATAGACTTTATCATATATAAGCAATTTGAATACTTTATCATATTCTCGTATATACTTCACATATATATATATCATATATATATATATATATATATATATGCACTTATATATTTTATCATATATACTAAATACCAAATATATTCAGATGTCTTACCTATTTCACTTTTTATGTGAGAAAACTTAACTTTTCCCTTTTTCACATGTATTATTACCTATTTAATACTTAGGCTACATCTAGCAGATCTAGCACTTGTTTGTGTTTGCACAACAATCACTTATTGTCAAGCAGAATATCATAGTATTACCATGTCTACAAACATAATAATGCAATGTTTCTATTTTTGGTTAGTGTTAGTAGGTTCTGCCGCTCTTAGTTACATAAGCGAGCTTTGTAAAGCAAACTTAGTTTGTATTATCCATAAATATCTCACCATTCTGAAGCAAACACCTGAAAAAAAGACAAACATTTGTGAGGTTTATGGAATAAGTGTGCTGTGCTGTATATAACCTATGTAATTCATTTAGTAGCCCTATACTTGTATACAAGAATAATCAACATATTAGTATAATAAGACTAATGCACAAAGCAGTAAAAGCTTTTTTGAGCTGTGGCATAAATAAACGCTGGTCTATTTTTGGAGGCGTGGCGTGAATCAATGTCGCCAAATTTGCAAAACAATCAAAATACCCACCCTGAACATTCCCGAACACCTCAAAATCTACAGACACATATTTTTCATCGGCGTCTGAGGACATTGCAAACAATATTACAAGGGTCAGGAGGACCAAAAGAGAAGTCCAGCAGATGTTTAAATTACAGATAATCATAAATAAAAGATCTTGACGCCACGGCCACGCGCAAGGCAACGAGCCCGACACGTCCGTCACGTGACACCTGTTACTTTCCTCAGCGTTTGCATCATTTCCCAGTTTTAAAGCATTATTTTAATAATTTATTTTACAGAGATGGTTTGGACTAGGTTTCTATTTCTACGTTAGACTCCAATCCTTTAAAGTATAATATGTAAAATGCCTCTAATCAGACAGAATTCGTCAAGAGATTTGCTTTCTGAGCGTTTCTAGGCGGCCGCGCGCCCTCTGGTGGACGAGATTTCTGTATTCATTCTCGCGACAGTTTATCTGGATACATCAATGAGATTTTAACAATAGATTCAACATTCTACCCTTACACAACTCTAATATACAGTATAATTATACATACTTGTACAAAGTAATAATTATGAATAATATCCTATTAATGTATCAGTGATAAAAAAAATCATGCAACATGATTGTACCAAAATGGCAGATTTTTTTTTTTTTTTTTGCATGTAAAAACATCAAATTATTTTGTCACCTTATAATGATTGAGTTTAAAAAAGCAGACCAGATTACATCAATGACCAGAAATAATGAGCTTCAGAAATGTGCCAACACATAACACAACACAATTTCCCTCATATATCCTGATGAGATTTTAATATTCTCAGCCACGGTGGTTCCTCTGTAATCTAGTATGTTTATGATTGAAAAACAAGCCTGGCTGTCAGAGATTAGATACAAAACATTTAGATTTGGGAATGCACAAACATTTTGTCACAGTTGCAATTTGCATACAAGGGTTTAAATGTCTTTCACAGACAAATCCTTTCAAGAAAACAAATCACATTTGGATTTGACAGAGACCTCTGACCCCGAACACGACATACAGCTCCATGTTCTCACACGTCTGATGATCACCGACGAATCTGACTTCAAAAATCAAGAACTCAAAGCTCAGCCTTAATGCTTGAGAGTTTTGTGGCATTATATGTGGAACATAAAAATCAAGTAATGCAATAAATCGTGGTCTTGTTGAACATTAATTAGAGCAATTAAAATTATTTACCCGTGCACACCATCATTATTGTGTTAATAATCTTGAATCAGAGTCAGTTCCTGTGGGCAGAGCAACCTGCCAATCACATGAGATCAGCCAATAGCAAACCACAAATTCCACACAGACTAAATCAAGCCCCGCCCACATTGTTATTGTTTCACTCTGACATATGACCTGGTAAATAAAATGTTTTTGGGATTTAAAATTTTAAATATGTCAAACAAAATACTAAATGACATCACAGCATCTTTCAGTCTCTGCACAGTTTGGATCAGACTTTACTGTAATCAAATGTAAGTAATCCGGTGACATTGACAATGCAATAAATACGTTTATAAAAAACTGACAAGATGAAAGAGTTATGTTAAAGGAGAACCTCTTAAAACACTGAGGGATGCCTAGAAGGTTTTCATCTCTAAAGATGCATTAATACATAAACAGAGAAAAAACACTTTTAAGAGTGCAGAGCTTTCAAGTAACACACACACACACACACTCCCCTTTCATTAACCCTACCACTAAATCTGCCAATCACACAAAACGTTATACATTTTTTAAAAATATCATTTAAAAAAATAATTTTACATTTATAAAGTGATTTATGAGCTGTTTTCCACAAGGATTTCGAAAATGCCATATTCGAGGAGACATAGCATATGCCTATGGTTAACCTGGACAACGATGACGACAATACACACACACACACACACACACACACACTCTCTCTCTCTCTTAAATATTACACACACACAGACATGCACTGACACACACACACTCTCTCTCTGAAATATTACACACACTCACTGTCTTATATATTACACACACATTCTCTCTCTCTCTAAAATATTACACACACACACACACACACACACACACTCTCTGTCTTATATATTACACACACTCTCTCTCTCTTAAATATTACGCACGCACGCACACACGCACGCGCGCGCGCGCGCGCACACACACACACACACACACTGTCTTATATATTACACACACTCATACTCTCTCTCTTAAATATTACACAAGCACACACACACACACACACACACACACTCTGTCTTATATATTACACACACTCACTGTGTTATATATTACAAATACGCACTCTCTCTCTCTTAAATATTACACACACACACTCACTCTCTCTTTCTCTCTCTTAAATATTACACACACACACACACACACACACACACACTCACTCTCTTTGCCTCTCTCTTAAATATTACACACACTCTCTGTCTATATTACATACACTCACACTCTCTCTCAGTCTCTTAAATATTACACACACACACACACACACACACACACACACACACTCTCTCTCTCTCTCTCTCTCTCTCTCTCTCTCTCTCTTAAATATTACACTCTCTCTCTCTCTCTCTCTCTCTCTCTCTCTGTGTGTGTGTGTGTGTGTGTGTGTGAGAGAGATCACACACACACACACACACACACACACACTCACTAACCTGAACCCTAAACCTTCCCATCAAACACAAACACACAATTTTTGATTACACACATACAAACCACACTCTGACATCCATACCACCATACCAATATGGCTACATAATTTGTTATGATCGTGTATGAAAACACTTAGGCCTACAAATTGATCACTTAGAAATTAAAAAATCTGTATTATATATATATATATATATATATATATATATATATATATATATATATATATATATATATATATAGCAAAATAACCTCACAAAATAACATGAATTATTTGAGGGGTCAAAAACTAGGTCAGTCATGCCAATCCTTGATTCTGATTGGTCAATAGTTGTGAAATATTCATGATAAAACCTGGATATAACACGGCTATGACCGCTCCACCCGATGGTTCCATGTCTCACTGCGCAACACTGCAGTTCCTATGTTGTGTTTATTTGAGCTTTCATGCCGGTATTACACACTGTTGCTGTTCACGGTCAGGGACTATTTTTTTCTAGCGGAAGGATGGCTTTTAGTGATTTTACTTCATGAAAGTTGAATAATTTCTTATTGTGTGGTAACCATTTTATAAAAGCAATAACATACTCGAGGCATGTGCTGTATGGTGATTGGTGAATAAGAAACGGTTGAAGGGGTTACTCCGCTCCGCGTCGAGCACTCATTACAAGCAAAGTGAGATATATTTCCAGCCTATATTTGTTATAATTGTGATGATTATGGCTTACAGCTTATGAAAACCTTTTCACAATATTCTAATTTTGAATTTGGGGTTTTCATAAGCTGTAAAACATAATCATTAACAATATCTCACTTTGCATGTAGCTAATGAGTGCTCGACGCGGAGCTGAGTGAGTAACCCCTTCAGTATTAGTTTCACCTTTTAAGTTGAATTACTGAAATAAATAAACTTTTTGCACCATATTCAGATTTTTCCAGTTTCAGATTGTTTCGCACCAGATTCGCAATATTACAAATTCATATTCTGCTCTCACGTTATTAGCTCAAGTCACTTCAGTGTTGATCAGTTCAATATAACATCCATCAGTTGTAGAAATACACTGCATACACACAAACTCCTTTCACTCCACTGCACACCAACAAGCAAAATACACACGATAGTGTTTTACATTCTGGTTGTTGGTGTACATAATAATGCTACGCAAAAACAATTTTTAGAAAGTTAAATAAGTTTGCTTTTGCAAGAGACGTCTGATGTTTTGCATGTGTGTGTGTGTTTCGTGGTTTTGTGTGTAGCATGAAATGGATCCAGTTTCAGAATGTGTGTGTGTAAACAATTAGAAAATAAAAACTGTAATAGGTTTTTATTGAGGACAGGTTTGTCCTTAAGGTCCTGACTGAGAGGAACTATTTCGTGTTACTAAAATAGATTTATTAAAGGAAATAGGGTGAAATAGAAAAATTCCAATAAAACATACTTGTGCAAACATTTATTTAGGCATTAACACAGAGATAATGGTTTACAAGAAAACTGAAAAAGACAGAAATGTCCATGAGGAAGGGTTGAATGTTTAGGTACGCGTGTTTGGCGGCTCTATATGAAACCATTAATGACTCATGATGGCATGACTGACCTTGTTTTTGACTTAAAATAAAAATGAATAATACATATTATTTTGTGAAGTGATTTTTGAGTGCTGGAGAGTAAAAACTTAGAGTAAAAACGTGTAAATAATATTGTTAAAATTATGGGTTTTAAAACTTCTTCAAAACAGGCAAAGATGTTCCTGCCTCAAACCGATTGTTAAAAATAAAAACAGATTTCCCCCTTTTTATTTTGTCAATAGCCTACACATTTAACTCATTGATTGCATGATGAATTGTAGGCTATTATATCTGCAAAAAAAAAAGGAAAATTGAAAATAGACCATGTCAAAAACAACTTTCATTTAAACATTTATTTATTTTTCCTCGTGTAGTTATTTGAAAGGAAAAGCTCTTATGGAGACAAATAAAACCTGACTGAAACGGGTGTGAGCGACTCGGCGACGAGTGATGCTTTCATAATGTTGAAAATAAAATATAATTTGACTTTGATTTAATAATTTAATCAAACAATATTATTGAGACATCCAGTCGTTTTTTATAATAACAATAGATTATTATTGAATATTATTAATAATGAGAAGAATTTATTATAAATAATAATGCATTCATTAAAGTGACACTGCTGTTTATAGCGCGTAAAAGCTTTATTAATATTATTATTATTATTATTATTAAAAAGTCAATAGACAGTAATAAGAACACAACAGGAGATTGTTTGTACTGCAAAATATAGTTTCAATAAAATCAGCAAAATAAATATATATTATGAATTAAAAAATTGCTACAGCGAACTGACGCAATAACTGTACTGATGGTTATTTATTTTTTATAGGACATAAATATATTATGTAGGCTACACATATAAGCGGGATTTTATGTTACATACATTAAATAAAAATAAAATGAACTGTTAATCGTTTGCTTAGCTTTTTCGAATTGAACTATTTCTTACTACTTTGGTTAGTTATTTTAACATTTTTATTTCATACACATGCCGACGTTTCTTTAATAATAGCTATAGTACATTAAAGAGCTGTATTACTGCTCTGTGAATCAATAAAATAGCCTAATAATGTACATCTCTTACAAATAACTTCAAATCTCAAGTTTATTTATTAAAAAAATAGTTATGAATCGAGCAGCAGATGAAATGTTCAAACAGGCTTCAGACAAGAAAACAATAATACAACCCTTTTATTGTTCAGAAACCAAACATTTGATGTCAGTGAACGCGAGCGGGGTGTTAGTACGCGGGAACGGGGAAAAGTGTTCATTTCAGAATGAAAACTATATGTGAAATTTAAAACTGACAATCAAATTTTAATTTAAAAAAAAAATAATTTAAATAATATTACTCCAGTCCTATATCTGTGCAAAATATGAGACTACTTGACCAACGTTAAACAAGTAAACAACAGTTCGAGCGTTTACAGTTTATGACGTCCATGATGGAGAGGATTGAAACTGGCGCACTGAATACAAGAGCTTGCAGATTATCACCGGCATTATTATTTATAAAAATGACATATATGAGTACTTCAAAGTGTCAAAAGAACTTTGTCCAGGAGTTCGGTTGGGTTGTGACCCGTACAGACACTAGAGGCGCCGTTGGCTCGTGCTCGTGCAGCCTGCGCGCTTTTACGCACAGCGCTGTGGCGTCCTGTGGCAAAATAATCAATAAACCGATCCGGACCGATCATGCACATACACAAAACATTAGTGTCTCGGACATTTTATTATGAATTCTTAACGGCTGTAATATTTACAACCCTCCAGGGTTCAAATTGTACCATTAAGTAGCCTATTATTAAGGCGTTTTGAGAGAACCATGAGCGATTCAGCATCACTAACACTTTAGTTTTTAATCATTCAAACTTTATTTTAGTGAGTTTCAGGCAACGTGAAAACAACTCCTCGTCCCTCCTATCCATGCAGGCTACGTGATCAGTGACGCACAGGAGACGCTCCAGACTCCCGCGCGCACGGGGCTCTCCGCGCATTATAATGGAGTAAGCGGAGCTCAACTGAGACTGTCCAGCACCATCAAGTGTAGAGCTCCTCCTCCCTTTCATACGATGAGGTAGTTTGTAAGAGTGAGCCCTGGTTAATCACCAATTTCCGCGAGACTGCGAAGTTCTATCATGCACGCGATGTCCCCATCGTTGCGCGCTTGACCTGCTGTGTTTTTAAGTACGAAAACGGGGCTTTTGCGCGCTTCATCGCCCGGCATGGGAGATCACAGTGAGCCCATCATGGTGCAGAAGTCCACATCGTTCAGCATCAAAAGCCTGTTACTCCCATCGAAGTTTGACAGCCCGGGTGCGGACGAGGGCGCGGAGCGAAGCCCGGTCTCCGACAAACCCCCAGAAGCGGTCGAGATGGACCTCGCGCAACGCGACGCGGAGGAACCCGAGCAACCGTGCAAAAAGGGAAAGAAATTCGACAAGCCTCCGTTCAGCTACAACGCGCTCATCATGATGGCCATCCGACAGAGTCCCGAGAAGCGGCTCACGCTCAACGGCATCTACGAGTTCATCATGAAGAACTTCCCGTATTACCGGGAACACAAGCAGGGCTGGCAGAACTCCATCAGGCACAACCTGAGCCTCAATAAGTGCTTCGTCAAGGTGCCGAGGCACTACGACGATCCGGGAAAAGGGAACTACTGGATGCTCGACCCCTCCAGCGATGATGTGTTTATCGGCGGGACCACCGGGAAGCTCCGGCGGCGCTCGGCGACCTCGCGGGGAAAGTTGGTGATGAAAAGGGGGCTCCGATTCGCGCCTCTCGGACTCGGGCTGGGTGAACGCCCGAGCAACCCGCTTTACTGGCAGCTGTCTCCGTTCTTACCCTTGCACCACTCGCACTATAACGGATCCACGCACGGATTTCTAAACCAAGGACACGCTTACGGATCGTTACTCCCCGGCGTCGAGCCGCTCGGGAACGGGAGTATTAACCTGTCGAACGGGTACGGCGTGCCTCCGTCGTCCGCTGCTGGATTACTCTCAGGACACAATGGATATTTCGTACCGGGCGCGCAACAGCCGCAGTCGCTCCCGAGCGCGCCGGGATACGGGATCTCCAGCTCTCCGTCTTCCCTGCTCTCGGATTCCCTAAGAACTAGTTTACCGTCCTACACATCTCCACTTTCCAGCGGACTTCTCTCTCAACACAAACGCGTCGCGCCCAATTCGTTCCTGAGCTGAGCGTCGCGCGCTCAACTTTCCTAGAAAACCGCGCGCGCGTCCGTCCGTCCGTCCGTCTGGATTTGAGCTTTTGTGTCTATTTAAGATCATTTTTGTAACGGTAGTATGATGTTATGCCAAAGGCAATAACTGTATGTGTTTGTTTTTCTTTTCTTCTTATTATTTGTTTCCCCTTTTTTAAGAAAAAAGGTATTATTTATAGTATTTCTCTGTGAATTATGGTTTTGTATTTATTCAAAAAATGTTTTATCCCTTGTTACTGTGGGATATTGTTGTTATTATTAGATGGATAGCACATATTATTCGTTTAGTACGACTAGTTCCTTTTTTATTTAAAATATAATGTCCCAAACTGTGAATGCGCCTTAATATCTTAAATCAGGGTCGACTCAGGTGTGCGTTCTGACAATGAAACGATTTATTATTATTATTATTATTATTAGTGTAAACCTGGATTTGGGTCAAATATTAACGATATGCAATGTTTGCTGAGTTAGGTCTGTGAGTGTGTGTGTGTGTGTTGTGTCCGACACGACAGAGCTGAGCTACTGAATTAAAGCACTGGATTAAATGAACCGTGTGTGTGTGTGTTGGAGTTAATATATTGTCATTAAATACTGTTCTGGGTCTGTCCCATATTTACACACAACAGTACAGTTTTGACTGTGGAGGTATATGGTTCATCACCAAAGACAGATCATTAATGTTTTTGTTTTTAATATAACATCCATGCACATTCATTTGATATTCTGAAGCCATTATTTAAACTCTCTGTGCAAACAGGCGTTTAGAAGAAATGTAATGGTTTATTTCCCTTTAGTTTGAACCCACATGTGATCTGTAGTTCTGCACCTTTAGTTGCCACGCTCATTTAATGTACTAGTTTGTCGTTGAATCTTTTTCTTGTATATTTCGCCTGAACTTCAGTTCAGAACTAAGAAATAAAGTATTGAAATATTTCTGTATGAATGCATGAATCCTTTCTTTGCTACAAATCCTATTTTGATAAAAAAAAGACTCGAGGGGTTTAGTGCATTTAGCTTCCAATTTAAATGCATTTATATCATACATGCTGTAATATTTTCGTCCTACAACACATAGGCTAATTGGTCCATTAGTAACACTTAATATTAATAATTGAGTCACTGATAAAACATTACTTAACATGCAAAATCAAATATTATTAATTAGGCTAAACAGTAAAGTTTCATGTTACGCCATTAAATGGGCCTACATTTCATGCATGCTAATGTAAAACTACTTGTTAATGAAAGTGCTACCAATGTATTTCTAAAAATAACCCTAAAACGGCGCTTCGAGCCCAATCGGAAAATAGGAAGAACCCATAAAATTCACGAACTAATGCAATGCGTTCCTGGGCCCAACAATAGGCTACACATATCTGAGATATAATGAGCAAACGAGTGTTCACCAATAGAAATGAAATAATGTCACACTTACAGTGCAGATGTTCCTGATGCTCCACCAACACGTGCTCTGAAGGACACACTCGCGGAGGCACAGCCTGTGTGAGGTCTGGGAACTCAAGGAACCCCTCACGGAACCGGGCCGGCGTTAAGAGGGAGGGGACAAACTCTCCCAAAAATGCCCTGGACTTTATTCACTTTACACTCCAATATTAGGCTACTCGCCTTCACTGGTTCTAAACATTATCTGATTTTAAAACTTGTTTTAACGAGTTAAAATGTTTTCTTTTAATCAAGAAGTAGCCTAATGAATTATTCAAAACAAAAGTTTAACGAAACTTCAGATTCAGAGCAAAATGGGCCTTCCGTGACAGAATAGCTAACTTTTTTTATTTTTATTATGGCCCGAACCGCCCGATATATTTATAAAACGGTTAGTTCCAATCCTTGATTCTGATTGGTCAAACTGTGCTTTATTTATGATAAAACACGGCTATGACCGCTTCACCCAACGGTTCTATTTATCACTGCGCTGTGTTTATTTGAGCTTACATCACACATTGGAACATTATTGCTGTTCACGGTCAGGGACTATTTTTTTCTAGCGGAAGGAAGACTTTTAGTGATTTTACTCCATGTTGCACTACATGTTTTTTTTTTTACTTTAATATTTTTTATTGTGTAGTATCCGTTTTATAAAAGCAACGATGTAATCGAGGCAAGTGCTGTATCGTGAATAAGTAACGTCTGAAGGGGTTACTCCACTCGCGTCAAGCCTAACAACGCCCTTCTGCCGTTACGATACAGCACAGCCTCTCGTACCGTGTTATGTTTAGGCTATAGGCCTATATATTTATGTCGATAGAAAGCATAAGGCGGCAAATAAATATCAGCTGACCATCAAAGGAGGAAACATGATAACTTTAATAAATTTCACCTCGTAAAAAATAAGGAAAAAAAAGGGAAAAAAAGAGAAAGAATGGCAACATTGATTTAACACAAACAAAAAAGGAATTTTTACCAAAGAAAAAAACCCTGTTGCATTTAGGAGTTTGGGTCTTTCATGCAACAGGCATTTAACTTCAAATACAAACCGTAACATATTTATACATGTGTATATATATATATATATATATATATATATATATATATATATATATTATACAATAAATAATACAATACAAGATAAATTAAAAAAAAAATTCTACGCAGAACCAAAGTTGTCAGAATTTAATTAACTAAATAAATGTACTAATTTATTTATTGTCCCCCAGTAAGCTACTTTGGTCATGTTTAAACTCCAATCTCGAGGTTTCCAGAATCTCCCGTTTCAATCTTTCAATGCAAAAGTAGCGCAAGACGTGCCAGAGAAGTTTAATCTCGTGTTAATTATGTCTTGAAGAATACAAAAAAATGACGAGCATGTAAAATATCAAACTATTGGCTCTTGGTGAAACTCCATTGTCATATTAGGATCGGGATCCTAAACGCACATGATGCCATTAATTGGTTAATTCTGATAATCTCCTTTTTAATTGTTTTTCTCTAGAAGTGTATTTCTGTGTCTGTTTGTAAAGACTCTCTCCTCTTCATTTAGGTCCCAGAAGGCCCTTTTCGTGTCATTGGACACACAACTGCTAATCCACTCAGACTCAGTTATTCCTCTGACCACGGGAGAAGAGCATTATTCAGGGATCAATACTCCCGATGAATGCCTTAAAAACTCTCAGTTAATTGATAAACGCTAAAGAGTGTCACACACTGCTGTCTACTATAATGTGTAGGAAGTCATTACATTGAGCAAATGAAGCAGCGTCACACACTGAATCTGCAACTTAAGCAGAGCAAGTTTACTGGACAATGATGAAGGAGAATCATGGCAAAGGTGGACACATTCTGATGTTTGCAGGGAAAAATAAACATGATGCAGTCACACACACACACACACACACACACACACACACACAGGGAAAAATAAACATGATGCACATGAGACATGGATCCATAAAACAGGCCGACAGAATACATTAAATCCAAAAACAGCTTTATTGAAATTAATGTAAACGATAGTAGGCTATTAATACAATAGAACATTCTTTGAAAATAAAATACCTATGAATTTAAATTTAATTAAATATTTACAAAATGATATAATTTAAAAGTTAGATAAAAAGTAAAAAAAAAAGTCGACAATATCTGGGAAAATTGTGTAAAATTAAATAGAGAACAGTAACACACACACACACACACACACACACACATATATAAATATTTATATATAAGTATTTATAGCATATAAGTATATATATATATATATATATATATATATATATGAAGAGTTCAGATGCAAAAGCCTCTAAATGCCATTTGAAATTTTCTTCTTTAATGATGATTTATCAAACTTGTATATTTAAGTTCAGTAATTTCACTTAAATAACAATTAATAGGTAATTATCATTGCCATTTAAGTGAAATTACTGAACTTAAATATACAAGTTTGATAAAAAAATCATCATTAAAGAAGAAAATTTCAAATGGCACTTAGAGGCTTTTGCATCTGAACTCTTCATATATATATATACGTATATATACACACATACACACACACACACGTATATTATATTTCTCACTCAAAAAAAAATGCTGTGCTGGTTTAACCCATGTTTGGGTCATGTGGACAAATCTAAGCCTTTGGTTTTACTTGTTTTATTACATTTTGTCCATATTTGACCAAAACATGGGTTAAAACAACCCAGCAGACTACACACACACACACACACACACACACACATAAATATTTATATATAAGTAGCCTATTATTGTTGGTAGCAACATTTTTTGGGTTGTTTTAACCCAACCCTGGGTCAAATATGGACAAACCCAGCCATTGGGTTACATTTTTTAACTCAACGTTTGGGTTTGTCTTTGTCCATATTTGACTCAAAGTTGGGTAAAAACAACCTAGTGTTTTTTAGAGTGTGATGATTGCTAAAATATTGGATTGAGAAAATAAGCAAGACAAAAGAAAACCTGTCTCTCTCTCACACACACACACTGATCCTATAGTTTATATACTCTATATCTGGGATCCTCCCAGAGAGAAACGAGGGAGTTTCCTAAATGTCAAAGGTCCTGCAAGAGCTCTTGGAGATCTGAGTGTTAACACACACCGGACTCGTCAACACTGGAATCATCCCAACGAGGTAAAATCAGGATTCAACATAATATCTTAAACCACTCACATTTGAGTAGACCTACCATTATTATATATTTTAATGTTTGATATGATTTATTTAGACTGGTCATAATATCAGTATATTTCAAATCAGATTTTCCACTTATAATCTGTTATGGTAGATATTTGTGTGTGTGTGTGTGTGTGTGTGTGTAAAGATAAAATAATGATAGCTCAAAAATAAGTGGTTTTATGATTTGCCTTGTATTTTCTTTTATTCCTCTTTTAAAATAAATAAATAAAATAATAAAAAATGAATGATTTCCGAGTAAAGAAGGATGTTCAAATGCATCAGTAAAAATGCAAGCTTGAGGAGTTGATTTTAGAAGCATCTGTGTATTTTCTGCATAAATATGAACAAATGCAAGACGTTACAGTGACGAGAACACACATGCACACACCTTTCCGTTTTATGACAAAGTTTTGCTAAGTTTGGAAAAACCTGGCAAAATTTTGTAAAAATGTGTGCATGTGCTAATACACATTCAAGATATTAGGAAACTCAAATCGTGCTTATTTATTCATGCCTGAAATTCAAACTTAAATTCAAAACTACTCAAAAGTTTACGTATTGGCAGAACAAAATAAGAAGGATTATATAAAATGCATGATATTTTCTATTTAGTACTGCCCTGAATAAATAATTTTACATAAAAGATAAAAAAAATGCTGAATTCATAAAAATTGCATCCTCTCGATTGTAAATATGATCTGGAGCTGTTTTGTGTTGTGTGATTGTTCTCGAGTCGCTGGTTTGTCCTGAACAGTTAAACTGAGCACTGATCTTCAGAAAGATCCTCCCGCTACTCTAAATTCTTCGGTTTCCTGCAAATTTGACATATTATTATTATAAAAAAGGTTGAAACACTCACAGATGCTCTAGAAGGAAACACGATGCGTTACGAGCCGGGGGGTGAAAACTTTTAGAATTTGAAGATAAATGTTAATTGTATTAATTTGTCTTCCGGGAAACATCTACTAAATGAAGAAAAATATATTATGTTTGCACAAAATATGAACAATTTACATATCTTCCTCCTGTTCAAAAGTTTGTACACAGAATTATTAGACCGACAAGTCTCTTCTGCTCACCAAGGCTTCATTTATTTGTCCATTTATTCCTGTGATCTTCATCATCATTACTCCAGTCTTCAGTGTCACATGATCCTCCAGAAATCACTCTAATATGAGGATCTGAGGATCAAGACACATTTATGATTATTATCAATGTTGAAAATGCTTGATATTAACTTCCATGATACATTTTACAATTCGTTTTTCAAAAATTACACAACGTTAAATACATT